TTTTCCAACAGCAAGGGTTTTGGCATCAGAAGTGGAACCTTTTTGCAAGAAGCATGCAAGAGGAATGCATAGCATTTTAGGGTTTCATTCTACTTGTCTGGATATCCCTTCATGCTTTTGCTGCCAGAGTAAAGTTGTTTGCAGAGCTCTAGCAAAAGCATCGTTTAGAAACAGTTATTAATAATAATCCCTTACACATACAATGAAGGATTTCCTGTGGAATCCTTATCCTGTTGGTGGAAATATGCAGGCCTGTAAAGAAGAGAGCAATTTGACCATAATGTCAAAATAGAGAAGGGGGGAGCTACAGCCCCTCTTTGCTCCATTAATAGCTCCAAGTTCCCTTAATTGTCTGGGATTTCCAGCAGCAAGCATTGCAGCTAAACAAAGATTTCTATTGCAACAAAAGTACAGTGGGACCTTCCTGCTAAATTTGATTAGAGAAGTAATGGTCCCTTTTAGGTGGTAGGAGCAGCTTTTCACTGGAAGGAAGATGCACTTATCCAGCTGTGCATAGGGAGATGGTGTGATGAGCACAGTATTCAAGCAGAAAATATTCATGCACTGTAACGCCCACCCTTGCTGCTGCTGCTTTCTCATTCCTATTTTAAGAGGATCTGAGAAGGGTGGTTTCTCACACTGTGTGTTGTGCAGGTACCTGGAGGTTTCCTGGCTCAGCCCAGCTGCTGCTGCAGCCCCAGGACACAGCTATCACCCTCGACAGCTGTTTGATGGATTTCTGATACAGATATGGTTTGAAGCTGGCTCCTTGCCAAGTCTCCAAACCTTACCACCAGAAGTGTCCCCCCCCCCGCCCAAAACCTCAGGGAGAAGAGGGAGAAAAACAACCAACTAAGAAAACCCGAAACAAGAGAGACAGCTAAAGTGATATATATAAATATATTTACACTTATGTTACAATTGAAATATATATACAATTTAAAATATATACAATTTCACAAGGGAAGGGGAAGGGGGAAGGGAAAGGGAACAAAACCAAAATAATATATATATACGTATATATATATAAATCCCAATCAGTAGCCTGAGATTTAGTAACTAAAGAGTTAGCAAAGAAAATATCCCACCACTCTCCTTGGGACAACCGAGAGTCGCTCCGGGACGATGGCCGGCAACCTCCGCCTCCCAAGGTCGACAAGGCCTCACCAGGCCTCGCTCCCCAACACGGCAGACTCAACAGCAGGGAACCTGCACCTCCAAGCCGCCGGAAGGAAAGAGAGCGAAGACCTCTCCTCCTTTCTTCTTATAATCTGGCTTACGTAAAAATTGTAGGGAATACTGGGTAAATCTGGACCCTTCCTTGGTTACAAACTGGTCACCAAGGAAGGCCTAGCCCAAACCACCACAGGCTTTTTTGGGGCTGTCTGTGCAACTTGAAATAGAGAGAGACTTTCCTGGCTGGTGCTTGGTGAGGGGAGTGAAGTCTCTCTGTAGAACCACCTATTTCACTTTGATGTCAGAGAGGAGGTTGGGTCTGTACGTGTGTGGACTGAGGTCCTGGCAGCAGTGGAGCACCTGGGATGCACGAAGAACCTCTGTCCGCCTGCCGTGATGTCATGGGTCCCCTGTCTCATTCTGGTCACATGCAGCAGGTTTTGTCTTTGTGCATCACAAGGCCAAGGCTGTCTGATCCCACACTGCTGTGCCGGGCTCCTTATCACCCAGACTCAGGGTTCACTCAGCGTCACGTTCATGCGATAATCCACATCTGCTTCAAAAAGGCAACCGTGTTCTCTGGCACAGGATATGGAAACAGCAGAAATGGAGCCATTAGAAACAGTCAGCAGTCCAGTGATACAACCTGCTGTGAAGTGGGTAGCAGGTGGCAGAAGAGGCTGGCTCTGGTGTGGTGGGCTCAGGGGCTTGGCACCTGCCTGAGTAGGTGACGTTGCAGAGAACCAGCTTGGCTCTGATCCTGCTGGGCACCAAACCAGGGAGGAGGAGAGAGGTGGTGATGAGAATGTAACTCCAGCCACCTCCTAACACAGCTCACCTATACCTTTCCCTGTTTCCCTAAACTCCACGTTCACATTTGCTGTGGGCTTTCGAAGCAAAAAAACCTTCTCAGCATTTGGTCCTAACAGAAAAACCAACTGGCAGACACCCACATTTAATGTGCATGCCCAATTACCCAGCTCATCAGCTTTCCTGTTTGTTGGTTCACCCTCACAGGAGGGGTGTTCACACTTCCCCATGTGACTCCTCTGCTTGGGGACGCGCTGAATGCTGGCTCACAGGGACAGGGCTGTCTGGGTTTCTGTGGTGGGTGAACTTTGCCTTTCTGTACATGATGAGCAAACCCTGCAGGCACAATTACATGATGGGCCCAGGCAGGTCACTAGCCAGCTTTTGGCTCTCCCCAGAGCACGCAGCATCTTGCCCCCTTTTTTTTTTTTTTGGCATTGCTGTGGTGTTCTTGCACAAATCCATCCAAAGGTAAGAACCTGTGATCTGACCCACCTGTAATTAAAGTTGAATTTAATTCACATGCTGACTGAGCTTAGGTGAGCAATGAGTGTAGTATTTGCAGACCTCATGCCTCCAAGGTAAGCCATTTATTTGTTGATTGCTTTTTATGACCCAACACATTTTGTTCTTAAACTTCAGGATTTGAAACAGAGAGGAGCAAAACATTATTTTATGTGGTTTGGGTATTTTGCAGTCAGGTGTAGTTAGAAGTTGAGCTGAACAGAACATACAACTTCTTCTGAGCTGCTTGATTAAGATCCAGGTTTTTTACTTGGTGAATTGTTGGAAATGCTCTTCTTTGCCCTCAGAGTCAAGTCCTGCGACTGGTGCTGGAGTGATAAATAAAAGTGTGTGCTCTAGGTTCTTATTTGAGTAGCTTTAGCAGTATTCACACTTGAAGCAAGAACCTGCCCCTTGCCTTGCTGTAACAGGATTGCTGGCATCACTCAAGTATGTGCTTTAAGTATATACTTGGAGATAAGTTAGTGTTTAATTAGTGAGGCCCATGCTTGGCATACCGTGCAAATTGTGGAAGGCTTGGTTTCTTGGCCATGTTTAAACATTGGAGAACCATGTTGCTTAGGCTTTAGGATTGCTTCCTTTAGCTTTGTTTTCATCAGGATGGAAAAGCTGATTTAAAGAAAAAAAAAATTGATTTCTGGTTCGTTTTCAGTCTTTTTTCATCTCTTTGCTTCTTCAAAGTCCAGTCAGTTCTTTTTAAAAAAGAGTAATCATCCTGCTGTGAAAAGCTGAAAAGAAATACCCTTATTTTCCCAACAGCATGGGCCCATTTGTGTATGTGATATTTTATTCCTGATAACAGCAAGTTTGCTTTTTGTTTCCTCAAGGTTTTTATCCACCAGAGAGTTCCAGCTGTGCAAGCACTGATGCACATTAGCTGTTCCATTGATCTTATTTGACCAGTTCTTAAGCGTCTTTGCAGAATTAGAGCTCGCTCTCCTGCTTTCAGACAGACAGCTGTACTGTCAGCTTTTGAGGAGAAAAAGTTGCTGTTTCTTTCATCCTCAGTGGAATGTAGACTCCAGCAGGCAAATTATTCTTAGAGCAGTTTGGCTTTTGCAGCTGTCCCCTAATACACTTGTAGTGCAACAGAGAGGGAGGTTGAGGTAGTTCACAGCAGCCATGTGTTTGATGAAGTTCCATGTACTTTACAATTGCTGTCAAGGCTGTGGGAAAACTCCCTGTGTGGCAGGAGAGTGGAGCTATGCAACCAAAAAGACCAAAGTCCTTATCTGGGCCATGTTTTAATCTCCCTCTTGCTTTCAAAGGTTTGACTCTGCTGCTCTGTTTCTTGCTGTGGTTCGGATTTGCACGTTCCATGTCGGTCACGGAATGACCACAGCTGAAATGTCGTGTTTGCCAGGGTAACTACAGCAAAAACTTGGGGACCATTAGCAGGGCACAGCCTGGAGACACATGCAGTGTCCTTGGAGCAGAGTAAGAAGCAAAGGATGGGGAGCAGCTTCCCAGATGATTTTTATCAGAGTTAACTGTCTCTGAGTAAGGTCTTCTCTTTCCTTACCATAAGAATTCTTGTGCCTCCTTGATGCCTTCTGCTGTCAGTATTTTCAGTTCATACCCATCACCTTCCCTGCCCTCACCTGGGGTCCTGCCATGACCCCAGAGATCAGATTTTATTCCTATTTTCCTTTCTGACACAGGGAAAAAAAGAAGCTGTCATTTGGCTAGGGGAACACGTGCTCTTCGCCCAGCATAAGGGGAGAAAGGAATTAACACCAACTATAAAATATAACAAGAAGCAACATTTTCCCTACTTGGCCCAGTTCACCTTTCCTCACTGCTTCCTAGATGCAGAAATACACTGGATGCCCAGTAGAGGTGCATTTGTCTGCCTAACCTGCTGCTAGATTTGCATTTCTGTGTGAAGATGTTGCAGCTTTCTATAGGAGTTGCCCCTGCTTTCTTTCCATCTGTGTTGTCCAAGGCCTTGCAGAGAAGTCTGGCCCATGATATTGCTCTGCTCTGCCTCAGTGTTCAGGGAAGCTGACCTTGTTGTGTTGAAGGGTTAAGCCATTCTCTTAAGTGGATTTTGCTGATGGGATTGTCCTTCACGTTGATGCTGTGAGCACAGTGTAATCACATGAGTAATGTTAAAAATCTGCCTGACACTGGAGGCCCTGAGCTGTTGCTGCAGCTGGCGTGGCCGAGCCAGTTTCTGTAGCCACTGGCTGATGGGTGTGTATAACCAGCATTGTGTCTGATTACCTCTGGTGGCCCTACCCAAATGGTGAGGTTGGCAGACAAGCAGGGACCTTTTTATGTGAACCAAAGAAGATGGCACTGACACCTCTGGAGACATAGGAAGATATCTGCCATGCTGCCAGAGTAACTTCTGTACTACACACCTCACTAGTGCCCATATGCTTGCCTGTGCAAAAGGAACTCTGTTTCTGAGAGCATAACACCTTGGTGCATTCATTTTAGAATTTCTACAAGAAATACTTACTTTGCTTGTTTGTCTTTTACAGAAACCTGTTTCCTGCAAATCTTGTGGCTGCAGCTTTCCGAACGGTAAGATCTATATGGACTTTGGACATGAGCTATGGTGCACAGGCAGAGAAAGTTACTGCTCTTTTTTTACAAGAGGGCTAAAAATATGGCGTAGAAAATACCAAAAGTTAATTTACTTATATAATTGGAATATTTAAAAGCACATGATGTAATCAGACTTAGAACTTCTGTGACGAATAGTTTGGTTTTGAAAAATATTCGTCAAACAAAAGCATATTCAAAGCCTATCTTTTGTACCTTCACCAGAAATATTCTTTAAACTTTAAACTTTGGGTGTTGTGTTGGGCAGCAGTGGCAACTCTGCTTTGTGCCAGGCTGGTTACCACTTTGCAAGAGCTAGCTGGCAAATCCTTGGGTACATAGTTTAGAGCTGGGCTCAGAACTGACAAGGCTAAAGACTTTCAGGCTCCCATGTGTGTAAGCATTACCTGTTACCTGACGCTTGTATTCAGCATTTTCCATTTTATTTCTTGCTGGATTAATTACTCAGCCTGCCTTCTCTTCCAACTGAGACTGTGTGTGGTAGGATGATAACTGGCACCAGAACATAGTGTGGTTTAAACTGACGGACAGGAGCTGTAGGGCTCCAAAAAGATTTTGATTTAGTTCTCATTGCTAATTTTAGATGTCAGAATAGATAGTGTTGAGAATGTTGCTATGGGGCAGAGTGATTCTTCGTGATACAGGAGTGGAATAATAGCTTTTACCTTCATGGCGTTCTGTTGGTTTGCTTTTGTATCAAAACAAGGTCAAACTCTTAAAATAACACCAAGAAAAGGATATTCTGTGATGCCTCGAGTGTTCTGTGTGTTCAGGGATGAAATAAAGCAGTCCTCTTTTCCTCTATACTGCTGTTGTCATAGGGAATTGGCTTTTCTTTCCCTCATTTTATAATTAAAGAAAACAAGCCCAAAGAATTGCCCTACTTCGGAGGTGTCTAGCTTATTTATCAGAGTAAACTGTTGCCCTAGATTTTAGATGTTTTACTGACAATTTTAATGCTTGTCTCACTATTTTTTGGGTTTGTTTGGTTATGTTTTTTTTCTTACTTGCAGTATGCGACAGATTATAAGATGCTGCTCAGAAACACTACCTCTGGAAATGTCACGTTGGAAAAGGTAAGGTCACTTCTTAGGTTTTTAAACAAGCCCTTGTCAGCTGTAATATTTGACTACTCCAAAGTCTTTAATCCTTTCCAGCAGTCATTGGAAAGAAACAAGTACTTTTCTTTGCCTGGAACTGAGACACACAAGGTAGATCAGTTACCCACAGCCACACAAAAAATCTATGATGGAGGAGGAGAGTTGAGCTCAACTGGTCTGACCCACAACACATTATTTTTTAGGCCATGCTTTCTTGGACCTGATCTCACTTGATCCAAATTTTAATTAGTCACTGCCTCATATTTTTAAATAATTTTTTGTAGGCTTGGAATTAAATAGCAATCTGGCTGGCTGAGTATGTCCCTTAAACCTTTATCTTCATTAAGAGTTTGGAGAGAATGGGCTTTTTTCCACTACCCAAAGCTCTTTAAAAAAAACAGAAAAGAATTTGGTTGAGAATTTTTTTTTAGTTGCCATGCTGCTGAAGTTTTGTTTGAAGCTGTAACACGTGGGCTGGAGGCGTAAACATTACAGGCAGAACATTACAAATAGGCTGTTATTGGAATGGTGTCAAAAAAGAAACTAATTTGTAGGTGTAGATGAGGTAGAGAGTGTTATCTTCCATATGTAGCTTGTAGGACTTCAGAGATGCACTGTATCCCACTGAGTGGCATCTCTTTCATTGTGGGTCTATCAAACATGTTTGTTATTGGCCAGAGACAACATGTTGCAGGTCCAGCAATAATTACAGGCAGCATGCTGTGAAACAGAGCCAGTGCCCCAGCCTGCAAGGTGTCGCCTTGCTCCAAATGAAGTATCTCATGTGCTTTCATTGGATTTTGGGGAGACAGGTCTGAGAAATTACCTTCAAGGTTATTTTCTCTTCCTTAGGCTCATTCTGACTATCTGAGCTCAGTATCAGATGTTAGGTTGCCATATTTTTAATATGATTTGAATGCCCCTGGGGCAAGAGACTTTTAATGTTTGCATTTGTCATGGCAGGGCTCAGCTGGGGCTTGCCCATTAGTTTGTAAAATCATCAAGGAAAAAGCGGTTTATGATCACCCAGAGGGACTCTGGAGCATATCCCCGGGTGCAGGAAGTACTGGCTTCGTTACTTTCTCCTCCCCACGCGTGGTGTGTGAGCAGGTGATGCAAAACGGAGTATTTACGAGCTCTGCTTTCAGCTGATGGGCTGAACTTTCACCAGCCCTGGAGACAGGGTGACAGGTGACTTGGCTGACGCATGAACTGAGCAGGGGAAAAGTTATCCTGGACACCACAGGGCGAGCATTTTCAGTGGGCGAGAAGGCAGCTCCATCCGCCGGGCTCTGCCCGAGCCCGTTGGGTTGCATTAGCCCAGATCCACACTCGGCCCATCTGACACGGATGCACAGCAATGACTGTGGAATCCCAAAGGAGCACGTTCTCCTTTTGTCCCATAGTGTCCTTGGGCAGCTGCCCCTGCAGCTTCATGCTGCTAAAAAGCAAGTTCGGTATGAAAGGCTGTAGCAATGTACACTTAGCTTTGTGTGTTTGTTATAGAGTTTTTCTACATTTAAGCAGAAGCAAATGAAAGGGGAATGAGACTCTTCTATTGATCTTCAGTGTCAAGTTTGATAGGGGCTCCTTAGCAACCAAGCATGGATTAAGGCTAAACATATCCATTGAACATAGTCTTGGCTGTCAAGTATTTTTTAATGTTTGTTTGAAGCCATCACTCATCCTTAAGAGAGAGGAATGCATCTCTTGGCAGTTTAAATTTCGAGATTATTTTTCATTTCTCTTCTTTCTTTTTCCTGTTATCACTCTCCTCTTTGATGTAATATCAGGAAAAATATTCTCAATTCGTCACTGGTGCCTGTTTTTGCCAACAGTTATGATGTAAAGGTTATTTCTGCTATTGCTTTTCCAAAACCTTTCTTCAGTTGTTGGAGCAAAACCAGACCTGAGCTTCTTTAATTCCAGAAGACGCCCTACTGTCTCTAGGGATGAATGGACCAAATAAAAAGAAAGCATCATCTCAGTTTTGTTAGCTCAGTTTCAGTACTGATCTGACCATAGTATTTGTTGTTAGATGAGGATTAAGTTTGGAAAGGAAGAGTATGATTTTTGGAAATCATAGTGATAGAAGTTTGGTTCCAGGGAAGCAAAATTATATTCCTATCTGTTTTTTTTTCTTTCATCAGCAGAATATTTGATTGAAGAGAAGAAATGTTTTCCTTCAGCTTTCTGTATGCACAATGTAGACCAAAATTTTCCATTGATTATATTTCTTTCCCCCCCGCTGGTTAATAGGCCTTGTCTTCTCTTGCTGATGAAATGAACAGTGGATATGTAGATGTTTGCTCAGCCACGTCCTTTTTGTTGTTTCACATGCTCACCTCGTGTTTACCCAGCTTTTATGGCTACATCCTCTATGCTGCTTTGGCAGCAAGGCTTCCTGGGGCATGGACTATCTCAGTTCCCCATCTGTAGCACAGAGAGGCTTGGGGGAACTCAGTTCCTCTTCTGGCAGCAATAAAAATACACAAACCAGTGGTTGCTCTTCTTCCTCACATCACATGGCTGCATTTTCTTTTCAGCCATCTACTACTGGGGCAGTTCAATGTCAGCATTTGTTTCCTTGATAAGCATTTTGTTTCAAGAGCTAAAAAACAATAAGATCTTCAGAGAGATTCAAGGACCAGAAGAGCTCCATGAATCTTCCTACCAGAACGCAGAATTTCAGGCAAACAATAACGTGTCCCATAGTTTGTCCAGGAACAACGTCCTCATTAAAGCTGTTTTTGTTTGGTGTTCACAATGCTGCTTGGTTTGGCAACCCCTTTGGGGTGATGCACTTTTCTGTTGGAGTACAAAAAGGCTGTTCAGCATCTGCCAGTATTAGAGGCTGGGATTGAGAGGATCTTCCGCTGAAGATTTACTGCTGGACTCATTCCATATTGTGTGGCAGGGAGGTGAAATTCCCTGAATGCTGCAGATCGTCCCCTTGATTTGCAGGCAGAAATTTCTTGCAATAAGTTACTGCTCCATGCAAGTGATGCATCTTCTGCCTACAACTGCAGTGATGGGAGATGATGATGAATGTTGTGTGTTTAAAAAAAATTGGCTCAAGAGAGAGAAACAGAGAGCAAGACCTGAAAGTGGAAAAGTTTCTGAGAAGTCCAAATGGTAGTGGATTCCTGGGCTTCAGGCTCACACCACTGCATTTCATGAGATGAGAAGCAAATCCCTGGTAGAAGGAGTTTAAAGGGTGGAGATCCTTTGCAAGACATCAGTATTATGTAGTATAGTTAAATTCCTCCCCAGTAGCATCCAGATCTCTTTCAGTAGCTTGAAACACTGAATTTCTGTACCATAGCAAAGTCTTATATCAATTTTTTTTTTCAGAATGAGAACCAAACCAAAAGAATATTCAATGTTTTTAAGATAGTTTTATTTGTGGAAAAAGTTTGTGGCCATTATGGTAAAATTCCACTCCAAGCTGAACTTTTCATATTAGCCTTGTATAGAATGAACCCAGTAGAAGATGTTATATTATAAAATAACATCCCATGTACACAGGCAGTTTATCCACTTATTAAGAGGGTGTCATTTTTTTGGTCTTTTCTAACCACTGAAGAGTTTAGGGCTTTCAGATACCCAAAACAGAATATAGCCAAAAGTATCCAGACAGAAAAGTGTTACTGTGTGTGGAGGAAAGGGCACCTTTCTTCAGACATCCCTGGAGATGCACTGTGCCTCATGCTTTGTATCTGTCCATGTTTTCAGTTTTTTCAATTGGAAATCAAATAAATAATGGCAGCTTAGCCTGGAGCAAGCAACTACCATAAAAAATTGCAGATCCCATATCTAAGTATTTTGTATTAGCAAATAAAAATGTCAGCACCTTCACTGTTTGTAAACACTTTTGTTAAGAGCAGTTTAGCCTTCCTGCTTTTGTGTATAATTTATGTTTTACCCCCTTCCCTGCAGTGCTTTGTTTCCACCTGCCATTGAGAGACAGTCCAGTTCAGTGGTATACTTACAGCAAAAACATCATCTCAAGCAGGCTGATTTTATCAGATTTACAAGAACAGTATCCCAAAATCTGTAGTCAATATTCATTTCAAGCTTTTAGCTCAGAATATATTTTTCTTTCCTAGTGTTGAGCTAGTGTCCACTTAAACCAGCCAAAAGGCCAAAACTTGTACACAAACCTCATCTGTTATAGAAGTTCTTCCAAATAAAACAACAATTTGACATGTTGAGCCTGTACTGCCAAGTTGGGGAGGGAAAAAAAACAGTTTGTCAAAACAATTATATTTTTATGTAGCCACAAGAGCACTCATTCAGTTCATATGATACTACATTGCCAAACAGACTCCAGCTCTCTTTGAGAAACAAACCACGAAGGACTAGCAGAGCAGAGTAGTTTTTGTCAATAGGTGGATCCTGCTTTTATCCTCTTACCATGCAGTGACATGATTTCTGAGAGGGGGAACAGGTATCTCTTCTGTTCTCTGTGTATCTCCCACAGCTGACATGGACAGGTTAATGAGTAGGTTGTCACAGTATGTTGCCTTTCTCTGCCCTTCTCCCCTTTTCTTCTCCATAACGTTGGTTGTTTTCTCATGGGTTTCATTGTTGCACTAAAGTCCTGAATAAACTGGGGATTTTCCTGCTCAGGTCACTGACAACACACATATCATGTTGAAGGGCACGAGAGGGGGTAGTAGCAGGCACTTCTCCATGGATCCCTTCTCCAGTGAATCCATGCCAGCTCATGGCTAGAGAGTTTTGTATCTGAACTGCATCCAGATCGTTTGATCAAACAGAATAGGTTCTTCTTTCCAAAACAGGTTCTGCTTGTTGACTTCAGATCAATTGGGCAGCAACAAAATGAGGTGACCGTTTTGTTACGTTCTGTGCTGATCTCACATCTAACAAGCCTTCTCTTTTTTTTCTCTGCAGATCCCTGTTGGTACTGAGATTGAAGGGATGAACATCCTGGGACTGGTGCTGTTTGCTCTGGTTTTGGGAGTGGCCCTGAAAAAGCTTGGCCAGGAGGGGGAAGATCTGATTCGCTTCTTTAATTCATTTAATGAGGCGACCATGGTCCTGGTTTCCTGGATTATGTGGTAAGTGTGTGACTGCAGATGCACCTTTCAGTACAATATTATGTTCTGGAAACTTACCATTTATCTGTCTATCTGGCTTTTTCCTACCAGATCCCTCATCACAGCAAAAGTGAATGTCTTGGTATCACTTATGGGGTCTTTTCTTCTTGCTCATGCCCTGTAATTAGACAATCACTCATAGCTTAAGGTATCAGTCAGAAAAACTTTAGACATTTGTTTATAATGCCTCTGCAGGACTCCTTTTTGACTAATTAGTAGAATTAATTAGCTTTCTATTTCCTGAAGTTGATTGTTTACTTTTTCTCTGGCCTATTAATGAGCAAGTCCATTATTTCACTTAACTTCTCTGGAGTCTAGACATGTTTATGGACTGAATGTTGCTCTGACCCATCTCACAAAGCTTTTGGCACCAAAAAAGGTCTGTATATTAGGAACTGGACCTCACTGAACTTTCTCCCTAGGCAAGAAACCAGTGCTGAAGGAGGCAGGCACCTCTAGAGAGTGGTTCAGGCCCCCTAAGCCAGAGTAGGAGCAGCCTCCTGACAGGGCTTTTCTTGTCAGATAGATAAATCTTGACCTCAGAGCAGTGTCATAGCTGTCCTTGTGCAGCTGGATGGATCTAGGCCTCTCCTGTGAAACCAGCAGTGATAATACCTCACATGCAAAGTTAAACATATTCATAAGGATAGCAAATATATTAACAGTGGGACATTTCTCACTCCCTTTCCAAAGCTGTTGAGAAAGCTATAAACGTACCTTAGCAGAGGTATTTTTTTTCTCCTTCATTCTGCATTCGTTGTTCCTACTGTTTTCCTCTCTCTAAGAAGTAGAAAGGTTTTAACAAAACACCTGATTTTACACAGGCAGATCTCTGTGTTAGTTGCTGTCATAAGGGATTGAAAAATTCAGTCTCCAAGCAGCTTAAGTTTTTGGCTCTTGAGTGTAATTCCTTGGACACTGAATACTGATAAGAGGCAGTTCTTGTATTCAGCTCATTACAGTGCCAGCACTTCAAGCCAATCAGTTGGTATGTAATCCTTTACTTTGTGGATTATGGGGACCACTGCTGACTCTTAACACTGCAGTTCACTGTAGCCCTTACTTGTTCTCTTTACTTCCTTAAGGCTCTTTAGTTGTCCTGGTATTTATTCAGAATCTGTCAAGCTGCATGGGTGAAATTATACTATCAAGAGAAAAAGCACCTTGAGCTTGTACCTAGTCCTATTCAGCAGGACCGTTTATCAGCACTTTGGTCTCAACTTTCAGTTCCTTCCTCTCCAGCCTCCCTCTTCCAGGGGAGGAATCCAATCTCAGCTCTGAATCCAGTATTCATGTTTGCGGAGCTTGTGCAGGACCAGGCTCAGCTGGATCTGGCTAATCAGGGTGCTCAGAAACACAGTTCAAAGGTAGTAGGTGGCACAATGGCAGAGGCTAAGTGGGGAATGTTCAGCAGGCCCCTCTAGAGATTTGGCCAAGGGAGAGGATGCTCACATGGATCTGGGACATATGGATGTACTCTCTGCATGGAACAGAGGAGCTGCAGAACCACTGAGGGAGAGGCAGGCTGGGAAGAAGTGGGTGATCTGGCAACCTTAAGGCTTGCCCATCTTTCCAAACCTTTGCATGCTTAACCAAAGCTTCCGAAGTTTGTCCTTACCCAACAAATCAGCTTCTCTGAACATGGGCATTGGATTCTTCATTCCTGAGATGTACAGGCAAATCTTTTGTAGTCACATGTGTGCGTGGGGCAGGGTTTTGGGGAACTGGGTGATCTTGTAGTATTTCTAAATCTTAGAAGCAGAAAAGGATGAAGTGTGGACAGCATTAGCAGAGGTACTCAACCACAAACATCCCAGTAGAACTTGGGGAGGAACTGACCCTGGGCCTGAAGTGATTCAAGCAGTTCACTTAGAGCTGTTGTGCTCTTGGTGAAAAGGCAGTTCTGTCTTTCCAGGGCTGTTTCCAGCTGCACTGCTGGGACCAGAGGTGTGGCTGTGGCCTGCAGGTGGCCCGTCCCCTGGAGTAGCTCCAAGTGCTCTTGACGAAGGAAACCTTAAACAAAATGCTGACGTGGCATGTTTCTGGATAGGAGGCATGGATATGTGTGTGTGCCTGGCTGTTGGCTTGAAGGAAGCTCTTCAAGCTTAATCATTTAACTTAGTCCTTTGTAGGCAAATAGCAGAGCTAATTGCTATCTTTGGCACGTGCATCAGCAGCCTTTAGCTGAGCTCTCTGGTATGTGCATAGCTTTTTCTTTCCTACACTGAGTATCTTGGCATCCAGTATGTCTGTGATTTTAATGACCTAACCTCATACTTGTGCTAGGAGTTTCTGCATGTGTAAGACCCAACTCTTCACCCCTTTCTCTGCTCCAGTGACATGATACCGCTCCTTTTTCTTTCTTTCCATCTGCCATCCCTTCAGCTCTAGGTCTTTGCTTGCCTTCCACCCTAAAACTCCACACTGGTGCCTTGTCGTGGTAGCTTCTGCCAGCATTTCTGCTTCCTGCTCAGCTTCCCTTTGGCACTCTCCTCCTACCTGTGTCTTTGAGGGCATAAGTGAACAGAGCTTTTTCAGTTTAACTGCTTGCTGTCCACCAAGCAAAAGTGTTAGAGAAGCCTTCCCGATTTGCTTACTCTGAGTGCGTGGTGAATAAGGAACTACCCCTCAGTAGGAGCAGCAAGTTCTTTACAAGAACGTTATCTCCAGGATGAAAAAGGGCATATTTTCCAAGGCTTTTTGTTTGTACTTAATGACAGGCAATATTTCCTTTACACAGGTATGTACCTATTGGCATTATGTTCCTTGTTGGGAGCAAGATTGTGGAAATGGAAGATATTGTGCTTCTGGTGACCAGTCTGGGAAAATACATCTTCGCCTCTATTCTGGGCCACTTCATCCATGGAGGAATCATTCTACCACTTATTTATTTTGCAGCCACACGTCAAAATCCGTATCGTTTTCTCTTAGGACTTATCACACCACTTGCCACTGCTTTTGCCACTTGCTCCAGGTGGGTTTATGTGCTTCTTTTGGGATTATAGCCTGCTTATATATGACATTGTAACCTGATAATATCCAGTTTTAGTTTTAGGTGTGAGTGTTATTCCTGAGATTGCAAAAAAGAGACTTCAGAGAGTAGAGAGTCTCACTGCTGTCAGCAGCCTGCCACACATCACATACTGATAATTAGCTGTTGAAAACAATTCTTCAAAATACTGTGACTGTAGCATGATGCTGAGATGGAAATATTTGGGGAAAATAAAAGGTGAAAGTGATGGCCTTAAAAAGATCCTGCCAGCTGTCCTTTTAATTTTAAGTAAAGTGAGGATCAGTAGTGAGGGACTTTGTCATGAGAAGTTTACTTCTCTTAAGTTCAAAAGGACCTAGAACAAGTTTAGACTAATTTTGCAGGAGCAAAGCAGACTCGCTTGCTAGTTCAAAGCGATTTAACATTACTGATTTCAAAGATCTGGCCTGATCAGCTTTTATTTGTCATAACCAAACTATTGAGCATGTCATTTACACTTTACTCAAGAACAAACACCTGATCAAATAACATAACTATATAAAATCATTTCAGGTCATCTCCAAAAGTAGATGCATGTCTGTCACAGAAGCTGAACTACTATTCATAAACCTTCCTATATAGTAGGAGAGGGTTTATGAATGAAACAATTTAATTTTATAATGCAAGAAATAAATCCAACAGTGATATTTTCTTTTTAAATTCTTTTTCTGTTCATTTGAGAAGGCACTAGTACAATCTGTTGTGTTTATATTGTCATAGAATTATAGGATGGTTTGGGTTGAAAGGACCTTAAATCATCTCCTTACAGCCTCTCCTGCCATATTGGCATCTGCTGGTGTATTTTTGTGGTTTTGAGACTTGTAATGCTTCATACTATGTTAAGTCATGTTCTTGCTTCTGGGAGATTAGAGTCCTTATCAGCTATTTCTGGATGGAAGCAGATTATTAAATACCTCTGCTCAAGACTCAACAAGGAGAGTCCCTCATTGCCATTATGACAGAGAGGCATTGTTGCCTTGACATCCTGTCTGCACCATATTAGCAACATGAAAGCCACGAGGCAGTGACAGTGCACCCTGATGTGTTTGATTTCTCCCTGTTCTCTGTTTCCAGCTCAGCCACTCTCCCATCCATGATCAAGTGTGTTGAGGAGAACAATGGGGTCGACAAGAGGATCAGCAGGTTTATCCTTCCTATTGGGGCCACTGTAAACATGGATGGAGCTGCTATTTTTCAGTGCATGGCAACTGTGTTTATTGCTCAGCTGAACAACATCGACCTCAACCCTGGGCAAATCTTCACCATTCTGTAAGTTGCTTCGCTATTGCAACCACATCCTTCTGGTCCCCAGATGCACTCAAGCCTGTGGTCCCTCTGTTAATAACTAGCAGTTTGCATTCCACATCTCTGACCTAAAGCTTGCAAACTGCCATGAAACATAATTATAGGGTGATTAAAGGATGGAGTCTTTAAGCCTTTACAGGATTTTCCAGAGGCTCGATTTAATAAAAGGTAGAACCTGGGAGGGGTAATTGAATTCTGAAACAGACTTTGAGTGGTTTAAAGCTGTTTCTCACATGAAATTCTTCTCCTTCCTTAAGCATCTCACTCCTCCATCCTCCAGTCACCATTAGGCTGGGTAATTGAGGCATGCTGCTCTACCCAAAAAGCAGCCCCTGATTCCCTCTCTGGATCCTCCTGCCAGCTCCTCAGTTCCTTATGCATCTATTTCATACCAAAAACTCTGCTCCTGCTTACCTCTGCCCTTCCTACCATGACATTGATGGCTTTCCTGATCAAACCTGTTGTTGTTGCCCTCCTAATTGCTTTGCTCCATTATCCCCTCCACCACCTCAGTCCTACCTCCTTCTCTAGGACTCTCTCCCCTCCATGCCTGGAATATCCTCCCACATCCTGTATCCCATAAGGTGTTATTATCTTCATTTCCTGCCTCAAAATGCCTTCAGTGATGATCCTAGAAGGAGTCCTGGCGCCTCACCATGCTGAGCTGTCATAGCTGCATCCAACAGATGCCTCCTAGGGCTGGTTCCTGGAATTTTTTTACCCCCCCTAACTGGTTTTATTTCCTTCCTTATTACACTTCCCAGTATATTGTTCATCTATTTAAGACAGGGCTGGGGCATTATTACTTTTTTTGGGTTGGCCAAATTAGCCTTTCAGGTATTCTTAGTGAATCAGGTGTTAACACAGGCCAGAGGATGATGCAGTGAATAGCCCAAGGAAAGCTCAGTTGCACACAAAAAGGTGTGTGGTTTGTGACCGTAGCACAAGCACTGCAGGTTTCCAGCTTCTGATTTAGGAGCTGTGTTGGAGTGCAAACGAGACACAGAGAAGGGACTGTGCCCTGCATGGCAAGGTTTACCTTTATACATTTGAGGTCAGGAGATTTAAAGTACTCAGCATGTTGTGGAACTGATACAGGACTCGGGAATGGCTATATTAGTAAGGCAGCAGGATATAGTTGTACTGGTTGATTGTTTTTTATTTTGAAAAGGCAGTTAAGGTTTTAAACCCAGAGCCATTGCCTTGGTAACTGCTGTGGATCCTGCTGAGAGTTCTGCTCTGTGCCCATTCCTTTGCATTAGCAGGCAGGAAAGGGTTTGCCTGGGAAGCAAACGATCTGTGCGTCCCATGCTGTAGAGTTTGTTTACAATTCCCATAGCATGGAAACATGTGATGCAAGTGCAGCAGAGGAGAGCCACGAGCTCCTGCTAACCAGGCATGGGAATTGATTTGCAGTGTGACAGCCACTGCCTCCAGCGTGGGAGCAGCCGGGGTCCCTGCCGGAGGAGTCCTCACCATCGCCATCATCCTGGAGGCCATCGGGCTGCCCACCAACGACCTCTCCTTGATATTGGCCGTGGACTGGATTGTGTGAGTACTTCAGGCCACGTGTATCTGCTGTTGCGTGACATAGAAACACAGAATCGTTAAGGTTGGAAAAGATCTTTAAGATTCTTTAAGTCCAGCCATCAGTGTAGCACCACCACCGTGTCCTCAAGTGCCATACCCACACGTTTTTTGAACACTTCCTGGGATGGTGACTCCACCATGGGCAGTCTATTCCAATGCTTTACAACCCTTTCCATGAAAAAATAGTATCTAATCTAAACTTCCCCTGGTGCAACTTGAGACCATTTCTTTTATCACTTGTTACCCTGTGAGAAAAGACTGACATCCACCTCACTATGGCCTCCTTGTAGCATGTTCAGCTGTAAACAAGGACCACAGTATTCAAAGTACAAAATATAACTCTATATGAAATAAAATCAGTATAAAATAAGACCCTACAAGATATTCTGCCCACAGGACAGGCAGCTCTTCACAGGTGATGGAAAAAGTGGTTCCTTCTCAATTAGAGCAGTTAGAATGCTAAAATCCCTGTTCAGCTTTTTTTTTCAGCCTTTATTAAAACTTATTTCTTCTTGGCTTTGGTTCCCTTTGCAGAGATTCTTGAAAGTTTGTTCAGAAGGTGTTAACATTGCTGGAAGTTAGTTGGACACTAGAAGGGAAGGGCAGGAGAAAGGAAGTTGAGTCTGAATAGTGATGGAAAGTTTCCTTGGTGACATGTGGGAAGCAGTCTCCATCAGAAGCTCTTGTCAGCTATTGTTTTTTTATAGTTCAAGACTGATCAAAGCAACAACACAAGTGTCACAGAGAAGTGCTGTCCATTGGCAGGGAGAGTTTGTGGCACTCATCGCAGCTGTGGGCAGTGGCGTGACTGGAACATGCTGCTGAGAGCCACAAGTTTATTAGACAGTGTTGGCATCTTTTCTTTCCAAGACCTATTCCCCTCCTTGAAACATGAGGGGTTACCACCATGCACAGCTCTGTTTGGAGAAGCTTATCTCACCACTTAGCACAATTATGTCCTTTTTAAGGCCTAAATTTACCTTCTGCACCACCTAAATTAGATTAAGGAGAGCTTAGAAAATTTGTTTTGCTTTAAGTTTTGGGAACGCAGTCACAAGTGCATGATAACTGTAAATGCCACATGCAATTGATTTCTTGTAGCTTGGATGAACCCTGTGGAAAAAGGTGTCTCCACTTTTCCTCAAACAAGCCTGGCTGGCTGCACTTCTTCAAGTACTAGAGAATCAAACTGGAAGGACTTCTCTGAGCACTCATGAATTACAGCATGCTTAGAGTTTAAATGCTAGTGGAGTAAGCATGATCTGATAATTTAAAAGCATAATCTGCTTTCAAGCCCTCTGGTTGAAGTTGGGTAGTGGTCTGAAATGACTGGTCAGTATGGGTCAAGTGATCTGAATCCCATAGAGGTATTTTTGTTCCAGTTGGTGGGTTATTGGGCAGTTCCTGGTTTAGACTGCCCCTAATCCCTCTGCATTGCTTTTTGGAAACACCATGCTCTCTGTATAGATGGTGTACTCCCACAGCAGATGTGGAAATTAGGATGCCTGAGGACCCTCTTGAATTCCAGAGGCTGGAGAAGGTGACAGCTGTGTTACCTTCCCTTCCCACACAGGTGTGTCGGGAGCATAATCCTATTCCTACAGCTTCATTTCTTACTGTAACCTCTTGGGGATCAGCCACCTCCAAAGGACAGGAGAGAGAGGCAAAGCAGTGGCTAGCCATTTGTATCCTGGCTTCCTAAGGAAGTACAGTGGTATCTGTGTGTTCCACACCTGTACTTTCAAGTGCTTGGAGGCAAGAGTGAAAATCTTGCCCTTCCTTTCACTCTGGGCTGCCCTCAGCCTGTGTTGTGCTGGCTGCCTTTGTTTCAAAATATGTAGTAGCATCGCTCTGTGGTCAACACTGTTCTAGTCAAGGAACTCAGCCTTGTAATAGAAGGCGGAAGGAGGGAGGAAGGAGCCCTGTGTCTTGTTTTAATGCCAACTGTTTAATTACCAGAGAGGACCACAATTACAAGTTGAACCTATGTTAACTTAGGCTGCAGAATGATGAACAAATCTCAAACGACACATGAAGAAATTTTTCTTCTTTATGACCCATAAACATCCTCTATTACATCCTGGCACACTAGTTTTGTGTTGTAGGACCAAAGATTAGGAGAGGTGCTACGAGCAAGACATGCAGAGAACACAAGTCATTCTGTGCTTTTGCAAGGACCCCTTAAGTAGGTGTTTGGATTAAGGTGTGAGTGGCTATGGTTAAAAAAGAGAGCTGGGTGCTCTGAGTCACTTTCTGGATAGGCCCAAAATCAGTTCCTGCTCTGAACTTGCATTTGAAAAATGCTGGCCTGGGGAAAGGGAGGAGGAAGGAGGTGGGCTGGGAAAAGCAGGATGCCTGAGAAAGAGTAGTACCTTTGCTACAACCCACTGAGAGACCAGAACCAGTTGATGGTAAGTTTGGCTGACCTTCAACCAGCTCTGGTGCACATTTTTAGTTCTGAAATAGTGATGATACTTCTGTGGAGAACACCTGTGATAACACTACATCTCCCTTGTCCACCTCCACTGATGTTAGTGGATCAGCAGGGGTGAATCAACTCCCCTTATTGTGTTGTAACTCTCTTAAACTAAAAGCCTGCTGCTTTGGTTTTTGTTTCTGATCTTAACCAGGGACCGAACCACCACAGTTGTGAATGTGGAAGGGGATGCCCTAGGAGCAGGCATCCTTAATTACCTGAATGAAAAAGACAAGAAAGACAGAGAGCAGGAGCTAAAGGAAGTCACCGTAGAAGCAATTGCCAACAACAAGTCTGAAACGGAAACATCACCTTTGGTAACCCACAAAAACCGAGTCTCCAACACAAGCAGTACAGCAGACCCTGAATCCAAGGAATCAGTGTTGTGAACTCGAGGCCGTTCGTCAAGACCTGTCCTAGAGGTGGCCCCAGGGACTTGTCAGCACACCGGGACATTTGCAGTGTGACCAGGGGCTGGATGGCTCTTGGAAGTGCTCAGTTCCTGTCTGTTTTGAAAATATGCTGGCCTGGGGAAGGGGAGGGAGGTGGGGTGGGCAGGGAAAGGATGTTGAGAAGGAACACTCGCTTTATAATAGTATTTTGCTTGTTCACATGTGTGTATATGTGTGTTGTACGTGCGCACACATGTATACATGTATGTGAAAACTGCCACTGAGACTTCTGGTTTAACAAGACTTCTGCTAGCAAAGGCTCATACAGGTTGGAGAGGGGGAGGTAGACAAACCCAGTATGTGCTTACTGTAGGGAAAAATTAGAAAGCTTATTTTGCTGCTGTTTGAATGGAGAAGCAGTCTAGAAACTCCAGAGTGGGTGAAAATGTTGCTTAAATTTATTTTCTGGCCTTACCAACCATTACAGTCATGATATGAAGCAACATTTTTTTCCCACTCCCCTTCCTCTCCTCTTCTCCAATCCCTTAAAAATGTCAAATATGTCTTTATAACTAGCTTTTTTCTTTTTTTTTTTCATATCTGAATTAATAACTTATAGGGACTTGTTCCATTTCCCCACTGCAGTGCAGCTCATAGCAGCTTTCTGGCCTTTTGGTGAGTAACTCCCAAACCTTGGGACCAAACGTAGGAGATCTTCATGCAGATCAAGGATTGGTTTTCTACTTTCCTCTAACCAAGTGTTAAGGAAAAAATCCAGAGGAAACACAAATTTTGTTAAAGTAATCCCTCGGGGGCTGAAAGAAATGTAGAGTCTGTTCCAGTATAAATATGTCTGAAAGAGGGTTGCCTGTGACAACATCAGTAAATTCAGAAGTCAGCTCTCTTCATGAAAACACAGATGGTCCTCTGCTAGCACACCACGTCCTGCTCATGTTTATTTAATGGGTCAGTCCAAACAAATTAAGTCATATCCCTCTTCTAGCAAAATTGAGCAGGGAAGGAAAAAATTTGAACACACATCATGTGGGAACTGATGACAGACAAGTCTGAGTCCTGGCTTGAAAGGAGAAGAGAAGAGATGAGTTTATAACCTCAAGTAGTTCAGTGATGTCTGTGTGCTGGGGCAGCTGCCTGCCTGTTCCTGCTTGGAGTTTGGTCCTGCTATAAATGTTCTTCTGGCAGCAGTTTACATTTAGTAATTCTGGGCGGTGCTGGGCCAGGGTAGTGCTTAGTGGCAGATGGCAACCTTTGCTGGGGGCTGTGCCAAACGCTTCTGGATTCCCACTCCACCTTTTTTCCTGTACAATGTTCTTGCCGAATTTGCACCCCAAACCTGAACAAAGTCTGGCAAACTCATTGCAAATATCCTGTTGATTTATCTTGGCATTTTGGATGCCAGTAGTTTGCCTGGACTTGTGGATGTTTTCCCTTGGCTACTTTAACAAGAGGTTGCATATGGTCAGTCTCCACACTGTTAATTCAGCAGTATATATTTACACTTAGCTTTGGTATAAAGTAATACTAAGTCTCCCTTTTTCTTTCTCCTCTCTTACTTCAGAGGAAGCTATCCTGGAAAGATATCAGCACTAGGAAGAGGCAACTCCAATTTCATAGCAGGAGCTGCCTTCCTTTGCAAAGCATCCTCCCTGGTAAAGGGACACAATGCGTTTTGCAGGATGAGATGTGGCTGGCCAGCCCTGAGGGGAAACGCAGTGAGTGCACCATGCCTGGCTGGTTAATCTTGTGCAGCAGAGTTATGCAGACAATCCAAGTAGGAAAGGATTAGTCAGCCCACTGAGAAACTGCAGGTGGAGTCTCTTTTTAACCCGTTTATTTATAACCATGTCTACAAAATTTGGTCATTCCTTGGCTCGTCTTCAAAATGGAAGGAGATAAACACAATTCTGTAGGGACGTCCTTCGCCCAGCCGATCAAGCCCCACTGGAACTTTGCATTTCCTCCCATTAGAATCATTCCAACTCCTTTCATCTCAGGAAACCAAAAGCACAGTTTTAAGTCTGAATATCTCTTTCAAAAATCTGAATGCGCCGGAACCCAAATACTTTGATTTTAAAGCAGTATGTGGATATTTCAAGGAAGCTGAAAATCATGACTGTTCCCTGTGGGCTGGGTTCTGTAATTGCATTTTATCCCCCATTAGACATTTAGCTCCCTGCTCTTGTGAGACCCCCTGGAGTACTGTGTACAGTTCTGGTGTCCCCAGCATAGGAAGGACATGGAACTGTTGGAGCAAGTCCAGAGGAGGGCCACAAAGTCCAGAGGAGCACCTCCCCTACGGAGAGAGGCTGAAAAAGTTGGGGCTGTTCAGCCTGGAGAAGGGAAGGTTGTGTGGAGACCTCAGAGCAACCTTCCAGTATGTGAAGAGGACCTACTGGGAAGCCAGAGAGGGAGTCTGTCAGGAGCTGTAGTGACAGGACAAGGAGTAATGGGTACAAACTGAAAGAGGGGAAATCTAGGTTAGATACTAGGAAGAAATTTTTTACTGTGAGGGTGGTGAGACACTGGAACAGGTTGCCCAGGGAGGTTGTGGATGCCCCAGTCTGTCAGTGTTCAAAGCCAGGTTGGACAAGGCCTTGAGCAACCTGGTCTAGTGGGAGGATCCCAGGAAATGGTAGATTAAAGCAAATACCCCAGAGTCTTCTTAGTATTTTCCAAGAGCAATGCAGCAACTCAAAGTCTTTGCTGAACATCTCTCCCAGTCCCTACTAGTGGATTGCCACGTTTGCTTCGATGGGAATGTCTAGTTCCATGTAAAGCTTGTTAGAGCAGTCAGATTTAAGGAGGTCAAATCATTCTCTTAGCAGGAATTTGATGAAGGAAATCTGACACTCCTTCTCCTGCAAACAGGTGCTATAGGATTTATATGAACTACGAATATTCAGCTCTTAACCTGTCAGAAATCTGTAGTCTTAGAACAGCCCTACTTTAGACTTACAAATTTGCCAGTTCTTTTGTTGTTTGTGCACAAGAGGGATCCATGGAAGCAGGAATGCTGGGTAACTACCACTTGTCAGAACATCTTTTTTGGTATTTTTTGTATCATTTGTGTCAGAATTTACATTTCTTATTTTTCGGTGATGTTCTCATTCCTCACGATAGCCATGATGCATCTTCTAGGGTTCTCTACCTGGATTTTTTTTCTTACGGTACAAGTGTGAAAGATCCAATATTAAACTCTCTCAGACTGTAAAAAATGTTAACACATTCCAATGACTGCCATTGTAACAATGTGAATCCCGATGGAAAGCCTGATGAGATAAAAGACTTGCCATTTGCTTCAAGTGGTCAAGGTCTTCAGGTAAGGGCACTGGGAGAAAAATCAAAGGGCTGTTGAGGGATGTGCATTTTAGATTCTGTTCTTGACCTGCCGTGCAAGGTCTCCATGCAGCCTCTTTCCAGGTCGCTGTGAGCTGGGAAGGTCCTCAGCAGCCATGCAGGTAGTACCTGCTCTGTTCTCACCCAGGCACCCCACAAATCTGGTGCCAGTGTGGTACTTAACTCCAGTGTCTCTTGGCTGGACATATATTTCTGTTCTCCTGACGTGACTGTAAATTGGAAACCTTTAGTCAGTTCCTTTTTCTTTCAAGAGGAAATAAATTTCATCTAGAAAACACAATTTTTCTACTTGATTTTAGTTTTTTGTTTTGTTGGTTTTTTTTTTATGGAAGGTACAAATTCTCTTCTTAGAAAAGGAGGGTACCAACACCTCGTGTCCTATCCTCTAGTACAGGAGCTGCTTTTTGAGAGAGATACGGAAATCACGTGGTGTGGTTCTTGGGGTGTCCTGCACAGGGCCAGGAATTGTACTCGATGATCCTTATGGGTCCCTTCCAGCTCAGCATATTCTATGGTTCTGTTAAGTATTTAAGAGAAGATTCTGCAAGCCTCTGGCATATGCAATCCCACTTTGTCTCTGATGCCATTTATTATTCCACTTTTGCATTCTCTTTTTTCAGTGAAGTTTCTTTGACTGTTTTGAACCATCTTTTATTTCTTCTCCAGGATTTGACTTTTCACTCTGTGCTTCATCCATCACTGCCTGATGTCATCCCATTTCCTGGAATACCCTATGTTCTTTTTATGTTTCAGTGGCTCAGGAATAAATGGGAGAGTGAACAGAGTTTTGAGGGCTCCAGTTTGCATTCTGCCTTGCTCCTGTCCGTAGCTCAGCAGAGGTTTGTGAGCCTTAGTAATTTAGAGTTGCTCTGAGGCTGCAGAGCAGTATCTGTCTCTCAGACTGAGAAAGGTGCTTGTTCTGTGCTGCAAGATGTGGCTATAGATGCCTGAAAAGTGGTAGTGAGCAATGGAGGGTGCCAGCACTTGGCTGCCATTGGGATATTTTCAGTAAAGACCCATTATTCCTCAGAACTGAGCTTTAGCTGAGTCTTGGTGTTGGTAATTGCACTACAAGATTCAGTAATTGCAATGGACTTTAAACACTTCTGGGGATGTCTCTTGCAATCAGGATGGCTTTGGTGGTGAGGACAGACCAGGGTCAATCCCAGGGCTTCCCCTGCAGGGATGTGACGAACGGGACTGTGTCCTGTGGACATAACAGAGATGTGGAGCCAGCCAAAGTACCAAATCTGTTGGTGAAACAATCTCTGCTTTGTCTTTTCTGGGCAGGCGTTACTGCCTGAAGAGGCTGAGCTGGAGGTGGCAAGAGTTTGGGGGGACGGTATGAGGGGCAGGAGGGTTTCTTGTGTGCTTGCTCTGTTCCTAAACTCTTCCCTGGGCATTTGCTGTGGCCCACAGAGACGGATGTGACCCAGTGTCACCATTCTTAGACTCATTCTTCTGTGGTTCCTCCTTATTTTACAGCGAGAATAATGAAAACTTGAGGTGTTTAGCAGTTCCTCTTTCAGACGAGCCAAAGGCCCTGGCATCTCTGTGACTGACCACCCTACCATATGTTGTAGGCTGTGTCCTCGAGAGCTTGCAAAAGGGACAACACCACCACCTCTTTCTGCAAAGATTTGCAGTATTGGTCAACAGTCTGGGCTAAATCTTCACTCTGGTCCTCTGCTAACACAGCGAGTTTCTGCAGCCACTGA